ACATTGCATACCGTCTCCGTGTCCCTGTGCTGCTTTAAAGTTGGAAGGATTACCGTTCCACCTGCGCTCGTGATGGCGACAAACGGCTTCTGTGTCCCAGGTGTAGTCGGTACCTATTCGCCAACAAATCCTCCTCCAAATTGGCAGCACGCAAAATCGTACATGTCGAAGCCTAGTGGAGGTAGTACCAAGAAGCTCCAGGAACTGTACAAGGGTGGTTGGAGAAATGTTCCTGAGGGGCCAGAGAGGTGGTGGGACGTAGCAATGGATGGTGTTGTTGAGGAGAAGCGGAGAGCAAGGCTGGATGTAATGAAAGGCTTAGGGAGTGGGTTAACGGGCGCTCGGAGCTTGTGATTATTGAGAAGGACATGATATGGGTATATCTAGGCGCTTGTAGACTAGAGAGTGCCTTTGTTCATTTCAGGAAGTTGTAATTGGAGGAAGTAAATGGAATCTCTACTATTCAAAGAACCTAATATGTACAACACAATATAACCTTTCTTTACTGTTGAGAAAATTTAGAGAACTGTCCATTATTCGAGAGGGTATAAGACTAAAAAACGTAGAGAATATTGTAAAAAGAATTATTAACTTGGCGTCCTTTTCGTTCGCTGTCCATTAAGTATTGGTGTATTATTGTTCACCGGTTAAATGTATTGATTTCTCAAGCGACGGGACTTGGAATGTAACCCCATTGCAATAGACATTTCGCAGACCGGGAAGTCATCGAACATCCCATCATCACTATCGCTACTATCCGAGTCATCCTGCACGACGAGCTCGAGCATATCCTTATCACAGGGGCGCGTACCAATATCGTGCAGAGCGAGGTATTTGAGTGCCAAGACTGGTTCAGGGGACATGAGACGGCGCTCCGCGAGGAACCTATCCAACCCTGGGCTAGGATCTTCTCTCATATACACCTTGATCTCTGGGTCATTGACAGAGAAGTCACGCGCGAACCTAGTCTTCGGGGACTGGAAGTGGAAGTCGGCGTTCTCTCCGTCCGATTCGTCATCTGCTTCAACTAATTCTTCGAGGAGCTGGACGACCCATGAATTCCCAACGGCCGGGGCTCGCGGCCTGGGCGATTTGATAAATTCTGATGTCGGTGACGGTAAGATTTGTTGTGGAATTGGGGTCCTGGGAATACTTGGGGATTGGGGGCACTGGGTGGCTTTTTCCAAAGGGGGTTTGCTGGCCTTGAGGAGCGCAAGAACCCTTTTCTGCGTTGCGAGACCAATTTGGCCTGTCAAATCATTAGTCACTGAGGGTGGCACCCATTCTTTCCTCGTTGGTCCATCTGTCGCAGATGTGAATAAACCGGGTGGTCTAGTGGGTCGTTGCGGAGAATAGCGGTACATACGCCCGCTGGAGTTCCGCATTGCGTTTTGTTCTTCTTCATCGGACACTAATTCTGCTGTATACTTGCGGTCGTAGGGACTAGCTCTGACAGAAGGAGGCCCGTTGGGGGTTGTATCATTGATTATCTCAAGAGCCGAGCTGTGTGGGACTGTCCAAGCCTGTGGGACAGACAAGCGAGAAGAATATGGAGTCGGAGTGAGATGTGGCGAGACACACCCTTTCTGGTTGCCAAGTAAGGGAATAGGCCCTGTACGACGTGGTGTACCAATCGGATCTTGAGATGGAGGGCATTGGGATACGGGACGTGATATGGTGGGCGGTGAGTTATCGGGTAGCTGAACTGTCGTATAGACGCCAACCAACGGTGAAAGCGGGAACTTTCTAGCCTGTCCAGGTGACCCAGCTTGTATATTAGCAGGACTTCGGAAATCTATCATCTTAGGGATGTTGGGCGTTAGGCCCTCCAAGCGTCGATCCAGTGGAGCCGGGGAGATCTCAATGCGAGGTGCTGGTACTACTCCAAAGGATCCCGCGAAAAGAAGGCCTTCCTGCGCCGGTTGACTGGGTGGCGAAGGGGAGCAAATACGAAGTGGGCTCTCGTCTCTCTGAATACAGAACCTTCCAGTGCGCTCAGCCCGAGTCTTACGCCTTCCACGAACGGGACTTTCGGAGTCGGAGTCGGGGTTGTCACTGTGCCACTGGTTGGCAGTGCTGTAGGTGAATGACTGTGATTTGAAGGAACAAAAGGTAGGAGCCGGCAAACGCGAGGTAGATTTGGGGGAGCTATGAACCAGTGTATACAACGGAAGGGTGGAGACAGTCCCATCGCTATATGGCGTCACGTTGGAGAAATCGGAATCATCGGAATCACTTCTGTCGTCGTCGTCATACAACACATCAAGAATGCGAAAAAGGTATGGGTGAGGACCAATAAAGCAGGTTCTGTACCGGCCGACTTCCCAAGGACCAAATAACAAATGTGTAAAGTCAGTTGGGCCTACACCCTTGAGATATCCAGGGAGTTTGCGAGTGATTTGGACTGAGTAGGAAACACCATCATCTAAGAAGGGGATGGACAGTATATCTCCAGACACTGGATGGCTCTGCTCGCCAGCCTGTGGCGGGTACGGTTCGTCCGACAGATATTCGCCTGGCAACCTGCCTCGTGAGAACCGTCCAGAAGCATCCCATCGCACAACAGTATTACACATGTTGTCAAGATAGCCTTGGGGGAACTGTTGGAAAAGATGATGAGTATGCAGAGCATTATAAGAACGGGCCGTTACGTACCACGGGAAGATGATCAAAGTCCAAGTCGTGTACAAGCTTCGAGTTGGGAGGCGTCAAAAATCAAGTGTTTGGTGGTGTGGCGTTGAGGGCGATTAAAGCTGTTACACTTTCACGAATGTTCATAGACCCGCGCCTGATCATTTATATATAAGGTGCCATCTAGTTTGTGGGTACTGGTGGTCTTGTTTTCGTTGCCGCATACATGTCGAAAGACCACTGGACCTAGCAACGTAAGTGAGGCCACTGACTACGGCGAAGAAATTTCCAGAAATGACAAAAGAAAACAATGGGGAGGCCACAGCTTTTTGGTCAATCACGACAACAAGCCAACGACAATTATGTGGCCACCTATTTTTTACAGTGATGATCATGGGAGGAACAAAGGTGGCGGAGATGTCGGACTCGGAAGACGGATCTTCTCCTCTGACAACGAGCGTCAAGCTCAATAACTGACTCCGAACTACCTTGGCGCCTCAAGCAGCAAAAGAATACAAGTCTGGCCATTTATACAATGGAGAAGCTTACGATAACCAATAATGAACGTCTATGCTTAAACGAAAAGGACAACCCGACGGCCTCAAATAGTGGCGGTCTAGACGTCACTCAAGAAATGTGGGATATCATCAATCAACCAGGTTATTTGAGTCTTGCAAAGGGTGGAAAGAGGTTGCGGAAGCTCTATATTCAAAGTATGTTTTTTCACCGAATAACATCGAAGTTGAGATTTAACTGTTCACAGAAAGCCTTGGCCTTGACGGGTCCAAGCTTTCCGGTTTCAGCTTATACTGCTTTATCGGTCATTTTGACCAGGTGCGACAGGTATGATATGTCATGATCTCGCTTCTTGACGTCGCACGAAAAAGACGGGTGTTATCAGGAAGTAGAATCGGGAACGGCTCCAGACTTGGAGGGAACAGAAACCCCGTTCAAATTCGGCTACGCCACACTCATAGTTGCAGGTGCCCAGCGAGTATCATCCGAGAATCCAACTGTAAAACTCAGGCATCTCGATACTCTCAATTACCTGTTATCCTGTGGCCTACCTCCAGACATAGGGGACATTGTAGGGATAACGGCCCTTGGACACGCAGTAACCAGCCGGATACCGAAACTTGACCTCGCCCGTGCTCTCATCAAAGCCGGCGCCAATGTAAATCACCAGAATCGGTATGGCGAGGTGGCAATATTCGGGTCCTTTCAACACAACCACATTGCGGAAATCGATCTCCTCCTTGAGCACGGTGCTGATCTGGAGATTAAGGAGGCAGATGGAACGACTCCAATGTCATTTTTCTTGACCTGCGGACCTCAAGTGACGGCAACCGTACGGAAGTGGATTAATAAACGAAAAGGGCTAGAAGCACCGAGGGTCGAGAAGAGGTGTGATAATTGTGGGACGGACGAGATGGCCTTGAAAAATTGCTCTAAGTGCCAGGTGGCGCGATACTGCTCCGTCGAGTGTCAACGTGCGTCGTACTTCTATATCTAATCTGTCTTCTCATAGCGCTCTGGGGCGTATAGGAATTGCGTGGCCAACTCACAAACAGACATGCCAACCATTTTCTACCACTAATACAGTTACTCTCAAACCTTTCTACGAAAACGTCGGTTCAGTTGCCCCTACTTTCAACCTCACTCGCCAGTTCTTCGGGATCCCGGCGAATCCAACGCCAAGTAGCCACTACCGAGCTGCTCATATTCCTAAGGGCCTGTCTTTCGAAAGCAAGAAATTGATTATCAAAGTTCAGGTTCCCTTCAATGCAGCGACAGGGAAGCCTGGTGGAAACCACGGGAACCTTTTTGTGTATTCCAAGAAACGGGACTTTGTATGCGGGATACGAAGAGCGGATAGCCCCAAGGCTTACGATCGTTTAACACGCGTTATAAAAACACAGGGCGTAGGCGGAGCAAAAGCATATTTTGCAGCAGATCTGAAGAGTAAAGACGAGCTCATAGTCAAGGTATCAGAAGTATTGGCCGAGCAGCCATTTTGAGGTATAGAAATGCTAATAAGAACGGCGGGAAGCTACACACATGGACAGATACCTTCCTCGTGATATTTTTATTTGTATACTTACTATCCAACAGCAATTCAACATTAAATTTTTTTTCCGACTAAAAGTAAGCGTCAATGCATCGTAAAAAAAAAAAGTAGGGGACAAAAATGTATGATGAAAGGGAGATTCGAACTCCCGCCCCCGAAGAGACCAGATAAAGCAATGCCTGATTCTGGCGCCTTAGACCGCTCGGCCATTTCACCATGGAAACAGTTTTTTTATTCAGAATAACAATCACCTCTATCGAAAAGCCGCTTTTACATCCCGAATAGGCAAGATGCGCAAAAATGATGAGAGGGAGATTCGAACTCCCGCCCCCGAAGAGACCAGATTTGGATGGACGACGAACGTCCTGGTCATGAGCTCCTTAGTCTGGCGCCTTAGACCGCTCGGCCATCTCACCATATCGATGCCATCTTCCTGGACAAATTCTCGATAGGTCCTTTCCTGCAATCATTTCATTTAAACTTTTGAATTGATTTGTTACTGATGCCCCTATTACTAGGATACATACTCTCCAACAGTCTCAGGCCACTGACATCAGCATCTGAAAGTTCAGAACATGTGAAATACCTTTCATAGTCTGGTTAGTTGGCTACGGTAACAGAGAACGACCACCGACTCGGATTATCGGACTATCACACTGATTTTGTGACAAAATCTTATCAGACGCCTAGCACCTTTGCAGCATCTCAGCAGACAGGTTCTAATGATATCTACCGGCTCGCGTTAACCGTTACGGTCCATTGGCAGGCCTTTCGCCCGCAAATCGGAGATAGGTCGGTAGGGGGATAATTCGGACATTGGGTCCGATAAGCAAACAAGACGCGCCGACGCGTCCGTCCAAGTCATTATAAAGGCATGTGATATTTGTGCGTATTGTGGCGTTTAGCCACAGGATTAGGGGCTCATAAACCGAGTCAGACCTTGCTTGTCTTGCTCTGTACTATCCCCTCCAGCACGAACTTGTAGTCTATATCACCATGTTAAGGTCACAAATTCATTGTGCGACGCGAAGGTGAGTTGTATTGACGATTCGGTTTTATGAAGCCCCTAACACATCTAATCAGTGCTAGGGCTCCGACAACGTCCTTATGCAAGGCCGGGATCAATGAGACTGGCCATAACGCGGCCAACAGTCCCCTTCTCAAACGGAGATTATCTACAGTAGCTCAAACTGTAAGTTCACTCATCTTTAACTACATATTAGATCCATATTAACCATCAGCTTTCGAACCAGGGCACCAGGTCTTCTTCTCCGGGCCCCTCCTCGCACGGTAACAATGAAAGTAATACGCTATCCATGTCCGAAATGTCAAGTTGGTCAACCATCGTATGGCCTCTGCCTAGCACCTACCACGATACACCTGGAGTCGACGTGAGACGCTCACCGGCTAACTTCAATGGCAGTCCATACCACCTGCGTACTCCTCAGGAGGTCGTGAGAGCATGGCACCATCTCACTCCGTCACTCCTGCCCACCGGGTACTCTTGTGACTGGTCGCGATGCAACCTCGTCCACTCTTTCTCGTCCGGCGCGTACTATTACGATTTGGGCCCACTAGACCTTCTCTTTAAAATCACATACGAGCTCCCGGACCCGATCAGGGGCCTCATGTACAGGCCTTCGCAGAAAGGGGCTCTTTCCAGTTTTATTTTCCAAGCAGGGGACGGAATATTCTATGACTGGAATGACGAGACTAGTGAGTTGAAAAGGTACGAGGACGTTTCGCCTTGGACGCCGGTTGGAGAATTCGCGAGGCGTCTAAGGAGCCAAGGAGCTAAAGAGGGGGCGATGAGGATGGAGCTTGTCGAGACGAAGCCGAATAGTATGGCTGAATGTGAGCGGAGAAGAGAAGAACAGTTTAACAAGAGAGAAAAAGCGGAAGGTGGATATGACATTCTTGAATATTCCTTATTGAAAGACTAACACATGCATTTCAGCGTACCTGTTGCGGAGTAGAGGCAAAATCTCCACCTGATATGTTCATCACTCACTCATGAATTGATAAACCGCCGCATGACACCCAGGTATTTCCCTTGCGAGGAATCTCGTCAAAAATAACACGTCCAGAGCGTGTAGGGACCATAAATGACACAGGACCCTAGCAGAATAAATTTGTTCTTCCTATATTATGGTATATGGTATATGGTCGGGAACTGGGAGGGGGACACTAGTGCTACAGATAAATTGGGAATGGGTTAAGGCTACAGGTCCCGCCAGATGCGGGATAGGGGTATAGATATCACGACGAATAGACTACAGACCAGATGACTCGGGCTTGTCCGAGTCCTGGAGATTTTTTGATATACAGGCAGGCGACGGCAAGGTGTCGTTGCTATCATTAAGGCTTTCAACACCAATGGGGTCTCGCGACTCGGAACTCTGGGAACTTCGAGGCGAGAATGTGTTGGGTGCAAAAGTAATAGGTAGAAGTGGAGGTTCTCGGTTTAGTCGGAGAACTCTTTTTACAAACGCGAAGCATTTCAAGCTAGGCGAAATTTCGGGCTGATCTTTTTCGGGCTGAGGGGATCCGGCACCGGGAGCTGCAGTGACTGGGAAGATGGTCACTCTCCTTCCTGCAAAGGTCATGTTTGATTTTTTAACCGGTATGCCACTAATATAATATCAGTGAGTGCCACCGTTCAAATCGTCAAAAGTAAAGAGCGTACCTCCAGGAGGGTACAGAAGGTTTCACCTCGTGCCCAAACCACGATGAAACGCGCCTAAACGCGGCACTATAGTTATGCCTCGCCTCCTCTGCGAAGCCAAAGAACGCAAAGAATATAAATGCACAAATGATGACCAGCCAGCGGCTAAACTCGGCCACGCTCTCTTTGCGCGAACCGTCCCGCCAGCTTGCAGCGGGGTACGTATCGTGCCTATTGAAGCCCCAGTGGGTGTCTGCCCAGGAAATCCAGGGATGCATGCCGCCGTTGATGTTTATACTTTCCATGATCATAAAACATCCAAGAGGTATGGTTAACATAACCTCGATGCCCGCAAGACACATGAGCCGGAAGTACCGGTTCGTGTTCATTGAGGTGCAGCCGACCATGAGCTCTTGTAACTTCTTCTGACGATCGATGAAGGCCCTAATACTCAAGACTAGAGATGGCGGATATGAACTTGAGTATAAAGTTAGAGAGGTGAGATTTACCTGAGTATACTGCGGTGACGCAACCGATAGCGACAGGAGGGAATTGTACGAGTATGACGTAGACGGGGGTTGCGTATCCAATTGGAACACACCCTATGTCTTCGAAAATATCGTATCGGTGTCCTTGCGGGATGTATGCTGCAAACTAATCAGAAGATGTCCTTTCAACACCAGAGTATGGACACACAGATGATAATGAAGAAAATAGGGAGCCCAAGTGCAATGGCAAAATCTACTATCATCTCTCGACGTTTCTGGGGGATTTTTATTAAAGGAGAACAGATGGATCAGGGAGTGTGAAACGTACCTCAGCATCGCTGACCTTCGCTGTTTGCAAACGGGAGATACGGTAGAGGCGACGGTTGATACATAAAGATGCGGCTGGGATTGCCGTGGATGCTCCAACGATAATCCGAACGGCTGCACCAAAAGCAATGAGATCGTAGCCAACATAGTTATCCGGGGAATTTGGGACTCACAGATATCGCACCATCCCGGGAGATCGTCTACCATGCTCCCACTCCAAACAACAGAATTTATAAATTGGTTGAGACACGCTATCGCCGTCCACAGCATATACAGACAAGTTCCGGCGTTCCAGGCTGTCAAAACCTGTAAGTATCCAGTGCTTGACGGCCATCCGAGGACATTGCCTTACCGTCCAGATGCCATCGTAATGGAATGAGCGCGACGACGAATCCAATGAAAGCAAAGAGGGAATAAACATAGTTAGGGTACGACATTTTCGAACAGGGAAAAATAAAAGAGTGGTGGTGAGCCTCCGCCAGTAGAATGGTACGGCGCTGTTGGACCCAGCAACTGAGGCTTGAGCGCGTTTGGTGCGATGACCGATGTGCTGCAGGGAACAGAATGTTTTTATATCCTAGGATCTCTTGCGCGGAGAATATACGGAGGAGATACCACGACCACGATGAGAGGGTCCGTTCCTTGTTTTTATTCAGGTTCACACTGGCAGCCCGCGGTGATCGAAATCCAGGCAACAAGTGATCATGGTGACCAAAGAGGGTCAAGCGCGTTGGAAGTATCCACGTCAAACCCTACCTAAGCTTTCAGCGATTCTTCTTGCCTCTCTTGTGTAAAGAGGGCTCACTACCCGTTTCGGTGTGCCTTGAATAAGAGCATAATATATGGATGGGGCTCAATGCTCGGGAAAGAAAAAAAAAAGGTCAGAAGGTGGTGAAGCCAGCCCTGAAAGTTATCAGCATGCACATGCACAAATGAGAGCGAGGTTCAGGGACAAGGTGAATCTCATGTCAGGCTGTCGAACAACCTTGTAATTCCATGATCCCCGTTGAGGACAAGGCCAAATTAACGATTCCCTCAGGTGCGAAGGTATAGAGTTACAACTTCCCACGGTTGACGCTAAAAGCCTTGCCTTTGTACTCTTGACATTTTCATTTGCAGCCTCAATACTTTGGTTTCCAAATCAACGAAATTTATCCCTAGATAATTTACGGAAATTCCCCTGGTACCGTACGTTGACCAGGACTTCAGGCTTGGAGAGGATAACGTCAGAAATTAGAATTTCGGGTGGGGCAAGACTGATTCTGTCAAATATGTCAATCCAACGGTGACAGACAATCGTACCCCTCCTGAAACAAGGTGCTGGCAAGGCAAAATCATTGGTCAACTCGGGGGTACTTGCTCAGATTGTGAGATGATATCATGGATTTTATTTTGGTCCTCTCGAAGATTTACATGACGAGGCAAGGTTCGAGGGCGTTCCGCGTTGGGCACTAGTTGAAGAGTTTTCAAGACATTTCAAGAGTTACGGTCAAAGAAGAAGTTGTATGGATAAAGTTTGTCGAGAGAGTTAAATATGAGCAGAATGATTGAGAACTGACGAAAGGAAGAAAAAACAGGAAATGCATATTTTTGAGTGTCCATTCATTCAAAGTTCGACAAAGACACTTCAGCATGCATGCAACGGAGCGGTGGTGGGATCTCCGGTTGATGTACCCACAATCCACTTAAAAATCGGTGCGCACTTCGGGCCCGAAGCTATTTTCGAACCAACGATCTTGTATCACTCATATGCGCACCTCGTTGGGAGCCCACTTCTTCTGCCTACGCAGGGCTACACTAGTAGACACAAGACCCTAGCTACTAGCCAAATAAAATGACTCTTCTTGTATTATGGTATGTGGCGTGACGGGGAGCTGAATTTAGGGGCAGGTTGCTAATGCCACGGATAGGCAGGGTATGGGCCACATTGCGCACG